AGTAATGAGAGAGACTTTTGATGGATCAACCGAAACTCGTTCAGTATTAGTTTTTGTGGATTTCGTTCTGATCCTCGCTGACAAGTTATGGTCGTTTCAAAAAGCAACAATCGAAGGCTTCTGACGCCGGAAATTCTTCTCCCGTGTCCACAATTCCTACAGCTCGTTCTGCACACTTTTGTGATCAAAATTTCAACGAACAACGAAGTTTTTCCAGAATGATCACCTCACTCTGGTCTCGTCAAATCTGGCTTCCCCTAACTCTCAGGAAAGTCGACTCCAAATGGCGCTTTGATCTAGTATTTACCAACTTTTGTGTACTTTGGCATCATTTGGGGGTCTGGCCTCCGCTTGAGTGTGTTGAGTATTGGCGAGAGAGTTATCCGAAACCCGGTTAGACCTCTCGTTTGCAAGTTTTCTGAGATCGGATTGGTATCGAAGATCCTACGAACCAAAATATGGGGCGCAGTAAATTCGGTTGAAGAATTTCATAAACGATGATTTCAGCTGAAATGTACTCAAGTCTCCCGTTAACACCAAATCAATTTGCTAATGAGCACTTTTCATCAGTTGTGCCAGTCATTTAATCTGGCTTCACTGCACTCGTACAGTTGAACAAACGCCAAGAAATGTTACTCTGTAAATTACTACAGTTTGTGTAATTTCAAGGTATCTACTGCCATCACACTGAGAAAGGAATAGATAATAAAAACAGAGGAGGTGCCGTGAACGACCGATATTCGGTGCACGAGATGCACAGCGGATGCGAATTTGCTGACCGGATGGTCCGTGGTTCGAATCCGGTCTCTGCCTCTTGACTTTCCCTGTCTAGAATTGCGCAACCTGGCAGTAGCTCAGCCCCAGTGCTTCCTTTTGGTGGCACGGCAGTTAGGCACTGAAAGGGTGCTCCAGCTGAGCGATTTGGTGCACGATCTGATTGTAGGATCTGGTAGCTGCTGAGTTCCGCCTTCTTGTTGTTTCATCAGTAAACGAGGTGGAAGGATACTTTGAGGAACAGACACCATTTACGCGTATGATTTTGCGCTCAGAGAGCGTTCTGTTTTCACGGACATGGCACGTGTATCACAGCCGTCAATTATTATCGTTCGTGTTTCCGCTCTCCTTCAAATGTGTCCAACCGGGCTCACGTGGTTACTGAACGCGTGAGAGCGTTTGCGATCAGATACACTTTCGTGATGATAACATGCGAGTCTACTATCCAAATTTTACAAGGTAAAGATTGTCTATACGGCCTAAGTAACAGTCTTGAAGATTGGAGAATACCGTTTCGGTACATTTCCAGACACAGTTTCACTCGGCTTTTGTCTGATCATTCCCCTTCTGTTTTCTACCGCAATTATTCACTCGTATGAATCAGTCCCTCATCATCAACATTCAAAGACGTCCCCGTCACATCATTCATCACCTGTTTAGGGCAGAGACCTCCGATTCCGGCACAAATAAACGGTTAAGTGCATTGAAAACTGATCTGCCCATATGATTATACCCCATAATCGCTCCAGGTTGGCTCACCCCAGTTGCCTCAACAGACTTGTGCTAAACCGTGAGTTTCCATTATTCGGATCACAGTTCCGAGTGAAACAACTGCGACTATCAACTTGTCTCGTCCTGGGGAGCTCGATTCACCGAGTCACATGTCGTGTCAACCTAGAAACTGACACACACACACACACACCACTTGCTGATTTTCAATGCTTGACCTGCAAGTTCATCCGCGCATTTTCGTCCTAGGTGGGTAGACATGATGGTACACGCATGGCTACATCACGATCATCTGTTATTCTTCGACATATCTACGCGTTCACCTGTCACAGGATCCTTCAATTTGCAAGATGTCTACCTGAGCCCAGACAGTCATCGATAGTTGTGAGGTGGTGTGATGGCTCAAGTAGCTAGAGCGCGAATTCACCGACCGGAAGGTCCGTGGTCTGAACCCGAACACTGCCTGTCGACTATCCCTGTCTAGGCTTCGGTGACCTGGCAGTATCTCAACCTTCGTGCTTCCTTCCCCATCAAGCTATACGTAAAATGTCACAGCGAGATTCTTTGCAAAAACCGAACAGTTCATTTGAATCTTACGGTACACAAAATAACAACAGCAAACAGTAACTTNGGACAAGTCACCACGTGTGTTCCAATCCCCCGTCAGGACGATCAGGGGACTGTGTTGGATAGAACTCTAACAAATATTCAACTCTTCAAATGTCTTACGAAGGCCTCCCGGTATAGACCAATGTCATCATATCAAGTTAAGGTCCAATCATTTCGTCATGGAGTCAAGCGCTTGGCTATACTCCCCTTTCGGTGAATAGCTGTCGAAATCTCAGGAGTGGGTTCGAACCATGGACCTTCCACAAAGTAGTTTCGTACGCTGTCAACTGAGCTCTCGAACTCAGATCCACACAGAGGGAACGACGAATTCCCTCTGTAGTCGAGTTTATGTCACATCTGTTTCAATCCCAAGCCCATGTCTCTTCAGGTGTACCTTCATTTGTATTTCTGAGAGTTCGCGTTTTCATGCCATCTATCCATGTGCCTCAGAAGTTGACTACAAATCATGGAGAAGCGTGCATAAGCTCAATACATGTCACTCTTAATATGTTACTCTAATTAGCGACATCAGACGCAGACTGAAGTTCGCACCAACTAGGCTACACGGTAAACGATGATGCCGCGCATAAAGCGCTGTTTTATCCGATAAATTTGTTCAACATGTGTAAGCTACATTACATGAATCATGTGAGTGAGCTTTCACGAACAAAATATCCACTGTTGATGGAGGAACTCACACACGTGACCTGTTTTTGCAAACCGATGATGATCCGTCACATTGTGAGTTTTATTGGTTGGCTAATACACTCACGTGACCGATGGTCAGTGGAAAAAGCAGGGGCAGGTATTCTGTGGTATAAATGCGGTCTGTAGCGACTACTTACAAAAGTTGTTTTATGCAGTGTCTAACCGCCTGGTAGTAGTAGTAATGAGAGAGACTTTTGATGGATCAACCGAAACTCGTTCAGTATTAGTTTTTGTGGATTTCGTTCTGATCCTCGCTGACAAGTGTATGTGGTGATACAAAGAGGTCGTTTCAAAAAGCAACAATCGAAGGCTTCTGACGCCGGAAATTCTTCTCCCGTGTCCACAATTCCTACAGCTCGTTCTGCAGACTTTTGTGATCAAAATTTCAACGAACAACGAAGTTTTTCCAGAATGATCACCTCACTCTGGTCTCGTCAAATCTGGCTTCCCCTAACTCTCAGGAAAGTCGACTCCAAATGGCGCTTTGATCTAGTATTTACCAACTTTTGTGTACTTTGGCATCATTTGGGGGTCTGGCCTCCGCTTGAGTGTGTTGAGTATTGGCGAGAGAGTTATCCGAAACCCGGTTAGACCTCTCGTTTGCAAGTTTTCTGAGATCGGATTAGTATCAAAGATCCTACGAACCAAAATATGGGGCGCAGTAAATTCGGTTGAAGAATTTCATAAACGATGATTTCAGCTGAAATGTACTCAAGTCTCCCGTTAACACCAAATCAATTTGCTAATGAGCACTTTTCATCAGTTGTGCCAGTCATTTAATCTGGCCTCACTGCACTCGTACAGTTGAAACAAACGCCAAGAAATGTTGCTGTGTAAATTACTACAGTTTGTGTAATTTCAAGGTATCTACTGCCATCACACTGAGAAAGGAATAGATAATAAAAACAGAGGAGGTGCCGTGATCGACCGATGTTCGGTGCACGAGATGGCTCAGTGGATAGAGCGCGAATTTATTGATCGGAAGATCTGTGGTTCGAATCCGAACTCGGACTCTCAACTTCCCCTGTCTAGGCTTGGGCAACCGGGCAGTATCCCAGCCCTCGTGTTTTTTTTCTCTGGTGGCATGGCAGTTAGGCACTGAAAGGGTGCTCCAGCTGAGCGATTTGGTGCACGATCTGATTGTAGGATCTGGTAGCTGCTGAGTTCCGCCTTCTTGTTGTTTCATCAGTAAACGAGGTGGAAGGATACTTTGAGGAACAGACACCATTTACGCGTATGATTTTGCGCTCAGAGAGCGTTCTGTTTTCACGGACATGGCACGTGTATCACAGTCGTCAATTATTATCGTTCGTGTTTCCGCTCTCCTTCAAATGTGTCCAACCGGGCTCACGTGGTTACTGAACGCGTGAGAGCGTTTGCGATCAGATACACTTTCGTGGTGATAACATGCGAGTCTACTATCCAAATTTTACAAGGTAAAGATTGTCTATACGGCCTAAGTAACAGTCTTGAAGATTGGAGAATACCGTTTCGGTACATTTCCAGACACAGTTTCACTCGGCTTTTGTCTGATCATTCCCCTTCTGTTTTCTACCGCAATTATTCACTCGTATGAATCAGTCCCTCATCATCAACATTCAAAGATGTCACATCATTCATCACCTGTTTAGGGCAGAGACCTCCGATTCCGGCACAAATAAACGGTTAAGTGCATTGAAAACTGATCTGCCCATCTGATTATACCCCATAACCGCTCCAGGTTGGCTCACCCCAGTTGCCTCAACAGACTTGTGCTAAACCGTGAGTTTCCATTATTCGGATCACAGTTCCGAGTGAAACAACTGCGACTATCAACTTGTCTCGTCCTGGGGAGCTCGATTCACCGAGTCACATGTCAGGTCAACCTAGAAACTGACACACACACACACACACACATCACTTGTTGATTTTCAATGCTTGACCTGCAAGTTCATCCGCGCATTTTCGTCCTAGGTGGGTAGAATGACGGTGACATGATGGTACACGCATGGCTACATCACGATCATCTGTTATTCTTCGACATATCTACGCGTTCACCTGTCACAGTATCCTTCAATTTGCAAGATGTCTACCTGAGCCCAGACAGTCATCGATAGTTGTGAGGTGGTGTGATGGCTCAAGTAGCTAGAGCGCGAATTCACCGACCGGAAGGTCCGTGGTCTGAACCCGAACTCTGCCTCTCGACTTTCCCTGTCTAGGCTTCGGTGACCTGGCAGTATCTCAACCTTCGTGCTTCCTTCCCCATCAAGCTATACGTAAAATGTCACAGCGAGATTCTTTGCAAAAACCGAACAGTTCATTTGAATCTTACGGTACACAAAATAACAACAGCAAACAGTAACTTCATCGATCGGAACGACAGCGAATACGTCAGGAACATGAAACAACGTAGTTTCCTTTTTTATATTTTGAAGTTTGGTAGTTGTACCACAAATTCACATGTATCTATGAGGCTGAAATCGACCTTTATGTATCTCGTAGATTTAAGGGTGTTCATAGGCTACTGAACAAGTTTGTGATACGAGGACCTGGTGACTGATGTTCTTGGGTTCAAAGGTTTACCTGACTTGTGTATTTTCGGAATTCAAAGTACACGTGGTGCAACTGAATTGGTTGGTGAAAACGGTTTGAGTATACCTTGACATTTGGATGGTTCTTCGTAGCACTCATTGAGATTTTGGAGAACGGAATCTAAGTCTAATGGCGGTAGGACAAACTGATCGTTGCTCAGGACTAAATTAGTTTACCATCTCAGCGAAATACACTCACTTGCAAATAAACTTGGTTTTGCGAGAGACTCACCTGGAACCCTGCTGAATCTCTCGTTTGTGATGTTTTCAGACAACTGAATGTGCTGCACCGGGACGCCTCAAGTTTCAGTTGCTACGATATTCGAGATATCGCGATTCATGCACATTCGTGATGCACTACTCATAATGTTGCTGAAAATTCGTCGACAACCCAC